TCCACCGAAGGTCATTAGCTTTATCATCGGGTGTCCAGTTGCACGCTTGGACGACACACGATAAGAAACGTACCGGTTTTTCCTCGTTACTTTCAGTTACGCTCAAACGATTCGTATTTGTCTCCCTAAGTTTCACGATATATCGCTATCGGGAATGGCGTCCTTTAGTTTCGTACTCTCGCTCGCGTATATCACGCGAGGTTTAATCTCGAGGATATTAAAATCTACTTGCTCGGTAAAAGAGTTTCTTTAGATTAAAAGATCTTTGGAAAAAGACCCTTTTCGTGATTTATTACATTATTTTTCATATTACGGTATATTGCGGTATTTGCAATAATTACACGCGAACACACGTTGGCGAGATATCGATGCGCCGCGAGGAAGCGGTCTAAAGTAACGAGGAAGCATAAAAACGTAATCAGGGATGCCAACGCCGTTGATTATAGCGGAATGCCAATAAATGTGCGTCGAAGTTTTACTTCTTATATTTCAGGCGCTCGCGTAAACGTCAGTTTCCTTTGCGCGGACGTTCCGTTTAGATAATCTCACCGTGCCTCTCGATCACGAAGACTATTTATGGATCATGCGAATTTTCAACACGCGCGCGCGTGTGTACGCTCTTTATATTTCAATCCGCGATCGAAACGACCCGAGCCGGATGTGTGTTACGTCTGTTAAACGAGGGGTTATCGCGTGCGTCGAGAGATCAACGAGTTTTTCCAATAATATCGGCGCCGAGAGATCCGATCGCGGCACAGTGAATCCGATTGACAGCGACGGCCGATATGATGATACTTGCTTGATTGTGGCCGATACGCGAAATCTTAATTAAACACGAATACGAGAATCGAACGTTGCGTTGCGTCTCTCGATCGGGGGGGGCCTCGGTCTTGCTCGATCGCGGTATTACCGGGAGCTCGCACGGCTTACTTTCACCTGGCACAAACCCGACCAGGCCGGTTGCGAAATTCCCGCGGTTTTGTGTATCGATAGCGCGGATTTGTTCGCGTTCCCTTTCGCGAATCTAGCCGCGCTTTGTTACGAGCATTTAATTCGCGCGATGCTGTGACTAATTACATAAAGCGAGCACGAATGAAATTTACAAGCTTGTAGCGAATAGCAGCTGTTTAATCGCATCGGCTTTCATTCCTTTTTTTTTTCCTCACTTGCATATTTAATGCGCGGCGCGCGATAGTTTCGTAACAAAAGAAAACTGATTAAGGTTCATTAAGCGGTAATTGCGAGCAGCGCCTGGCGGATGGTATTATGAATTTTAATTATGAAAAGAGGAGAGAATCCGGCGATACTGAAAGAAATCTTTTCTTTTCCCTTTTCATCCTCCGCTGTAGTCTTACGGACTACTTCAATCTTCTTTCTTTTCATCAATTGGAAATATGAGCCACATACATAAATCAAAGAAACGGAAATAAATAATAGAGCTAATCGAAACAAGAAAAGAAAGAGAGAGAGAGAGAGAAATTTAAAGAGAGACGTAAAAGAAAAGGAGATGACATAACGTTCCGAAAGAATTGTTTTAAAATTCTTATCTCTACAAACACGTCGCAATAAAATCTCGAATAGGACGATCGTGAACGGAGATTCTAAAAAGTAGACCCGATCACGCGATGGCCGCCTTAACGACGATGTTCTCTCATTTATCAAGAATAGAAGTTGTCTCGTTTCTTGCATCTATCCGTCACTCGTTAACCGAACGATCGTTACTATCGTAAAAGTCGGCTAGGCGAGGAAGAAAAAGAACGAAGGAGGTAAAAAAGAAGAGATCGGGTTCGAGGTAGAGAAGACGTAGTTTTGGAAAAATAATAGCGCCCGGATCGCTCCGAGAGTGGCGATCGTCCAAGGTATAATAATTTCGAGGAAGCTACTCTTTCTCCTACGCCCTTCGCAGGCCTCCTCCGCCCCCTCGCCCCTCGTCCGCGTGTCTGCGCTTGCTTCTCTCGTCTCACGAGTATACATCTTTCTTTGTTACGTTTACGAGCCTCGTCGGATCCGGAGTAAAACCGCGCTTTCCCCCTATCTCCTCCCCCCCCCATCCCTGCCCCCAACCCTCCCCGCTGCACGCGGCACGCCGGTGAAATAAATCCGTGTATTCCGGGGGGGTCTTAAATTCAACCGGAAATAGAATTTGTCCCGAGGCGGTCACGGGCGCCGGCGGTGGCGCGAGGAAAGTCCGACGAAACGCTAGAAACAAGAAGAATCGAACGAAAGCGAGAGGCCTGTCGAGCCGCCGAAAGGTGAAGAACAAAGAGGAGAAAGAAAATGAGCGAAGACTCGCACGTGGCTGCGCAAGATTATTCTGACACTTTCTCCCTAAATAGCCAAAAATGGATCTTTTTTTTTTTAAGGAAAGATGTAAACAGAATTTATGGCGATTAGAAATTATTATTTCTATCAAAATCTTAAAGATTCATCGGAACATACATCGTTTCATTATTTTACTTTTTATACAAAAATTATTGGTACCGCTGGGATATGCTTTGGTAAGCCGTTGACGCCAAAAGACTACTCCGTTAACGAGTGTAGAATTGATCGAGCATAAATTAATATAATTTTGTTATGTGTCACTGTATATTTTGGTAAACACGATGATAATCAAAGTGTCATTCATCATATTTTGAAGATATCGAGCGATCTTACCTACTGATAAGAAACTCTTCCGAGATAAGCTCTGTGAAACAGCGACAACTTGAGAGCGTCTTAATCTGGAAAAAAAAACTATAAAACTATAAAAACATCCAGGCCCGACTACATTGGCAAAAGTTCTCCCCTCAGGCTTGTGCGCGAGGAGAGTTATGGTCGGAGGGTTCACAGATGGATGGACGCGTGAACGCGCGACGTCACGAGAGTCGAGGGGTGAGAGGGAGGCTTTTCACCTTGAAAGGAGGCAAGTGCACTCGAAGATATTCCCGAAAGCCGAAGAGAGGCATTGTACACAGTACGTATGTATCAGAGGCGCACTCTCGGTAGCACCACCACCCCTCCCCCCCTCTCGGCGGGTCTGCCACGATCCAACGGGCGAGTATCGCGGCTCGACGACGTTGGAGGAGACGCGGCATCACACAGAGGCAGGGCTTAAAATTTTCACGAGCCACTCGAGTCGGGACGCCTGCGCCTCCCGAAATCTGCAATTTGGTGTACCTACCTGGGTAGTGGATACACGGAAAAGAGGTCTGGTCCGGAAGAGGACGCGAGGCAGGACGGAAAGAGACAAAGGGAAAGAAGGAGAGGGGCCTTTGCTCGTTGAAGGAGGTGGTGGCCAACCACCTACCGAGTGAGCGACCCGCTAGCAGGAGAGACGATCTCCGTCGTGTTTACGTCTACTTTTCGAAGGAAGGAAAAAGTAACCGGCAACGAGATGCGGGGATTGAACAAAGGAAAAAAATGGGAAATAGCCACGTCTCAAAGGTACTCTAGATACTTGCCTACAGGGCAGCCATCCCTCATCCATCTCCTCCTTCCCCTCCATCGCCACTTTAGTCTCTCTCTCGTGCTCTCTCTCGAGACGAGCGGGGTTGTTTTCGGCAATTCCTCTAGCGGGTCTTATCAAAAAAAGTGAAAGAGAAGCTGGATGAAAGGAGGCACTACGGATTTCTAGTCTGTTCCGAAGAGGAAGTCGTTCTGAAGTTGGAGAAGGGCTGGAACGGGAAGGACGATGAAGGAGGCCCGAAGAGGTGCGCCGTAAGGTAGAAGGAGGACATCTAAATTTTGACGAGATCACTCGTCGTGCAATGGCAACGGTAGAAAACGAGTGGTACCAGCAGCGGTTGGTGGCCGAGCTAGGAGGCGCTGTTTGCCAAGCCGAGCCGAGTCGCAGCAGCAGCAACAGCAGCGGCGGCGGCGGCGTTTCACTGAAGTCTGCAATTTCGCGGATGCATCTTGGCTGACCTGACTAGAGTTGGAGAGAAGGGGAAGAAGTGAGAGAAGGTCTTTGCCCGCTTTAGAAGAACTAAAGCGCGTCTACCGTCACTCTCTTCCCCCCTTCTCCCCCCCTCCTCTCTCTCTCTCTCTCTCTCTCTCTCCCTGCCGTGTCGCGTTCCCTACGAGCGTGAGAAGGACGGAGATCGAAGATAGAGGAAGCGAGAGGGAGATGGATAAACGCATGGTATTGATCCTGGAACCCCTTGCCCTTCCACTTCGCCTTATCCCCGGCGCCCTTCCACTATCATGATGAACCCCAAAGTTTTGTTCGAGGCTTTCGCCCCTTTTCCTATTTCTTTTATCCCTTCCTCTCGTCGTTTTCGCGCCCTCGCTTTACTAGCGCTATTTTCTTCTCCACGCACGATAATTGACCGTTGGAAAATAACGAATTCCGATTGACGTCACTGGAACCCCTCGCTGTGATGTAACTTGTGATGTAACCTTGAACTCGAGATGTGCCATCCGCGACATTTACTTTCCTTCTTTCATCATGTGACATCTTTCTCCTCACCGTCAGACTTAAATTAATAATTAAGTTAACTAATTGTTTAAAGGACTATCTGTAGGAATATTTTATAGGAATATTTTATAGGAATATTTCCTAATCCTTATATTTTTATACAATTGACATTTGACGCAATTTCTCATTTATAAATACAAATGTCACAACATATGTATGTACATGATGTTATTTATAAATACAAATTATCATTGTAGTGTTTATACGTGACATCGACAAAAATGCAACAGATGATTTATCGCTCTATTAAAAAAATAAAAATTTGCATAAACCAGCTACATCGTACAGTTAATAAATGCTTTTCTCATCGAGAATTACAACGATAAGATAGCTATATCTTTCAGAGATGCCATTAGAAGAATAGAGAAAACGAACTAACATAGTTTCGCCTTTTCGTTTATGTGAGCGATGTATAAAAACGATGTCGCTTGTCTATGTATATCATCACCTTGGGAGCAAAGGAAGGTGCGAATCACGACCAAGTGCGGAAAAAGTGGTGTTTCTAGATTTCAATTAACGTGAGCGATCTCTTTATTTCTTTCAGAACGCGGCAGCCAGTTACAGAGAAAACCAGCAGCCTGCCACAAAACCGTATCGCCATGTAAAGCAAACAGGAAGTATCGATTCGTTTGCCATTCAGAGAAGTTTCGCGCGTTCGCGGACAAAACAAGATGACGGTTCTGCGATAAAAACTATCGAGCGACATTATAACGTTATCAATCATCCGAAGTCGTCATCCGAGCCGAGTATCAAAGTACGTGTGATTGGGAGCGTCGCGTGAGTGCGTTGGAATTGTAAAAATAAATAAGAGCCGTCGTCGTCGGGGCGATAAGCTGGAGCATAAGCGGGCAGGGAAGGTGGTGGCCGCTGAGGAAGGCGGAGGTGGTGGTGCCGACGAGGAGGGTGGAGAGATCCGGCGGTGGCGACCGGTGGCCGCACGTCGTCGTCGGTTGCCGTGACGCGCGACGCAAGACGACGCAACGCGACGCGAGGCGCGCGGGGGAAGGCATGAGGAGGGCTCGAGAGTGACGACGCTGCCGGTGTGCTGCATCCTCGCACGGATCGTGAGAGGACTGGCGGCCGTCCACCGCGGGGCCCACATGGCGATAAGGATGGCCCCCTTCAATATGCCGGGCGTAGCAGGGCTCCTAGCCACCTGCGCCGCCGTTGCTGCTTCCGCTGCCCACCTTCTGCCGTTGCTGCTGTTGCTAATCTGCCCGCGAGGGATCCAGGCGGAACAAGGTAAGCGGCTTCTCTCCCGTTCGTTCGACCGTCCGCTCTTTCATTCGTTCGGTCCTCCATTCTCTTCTTCGTTCGCTTTATCTTCCCTCTCGTCCTACCCCCCCCCCCAATACCCAAGTAGGGTGTAGGGCTAATCAAACTCACGGAGATGATGGTCCACGGCGACACCTCGGGTCGCGATACATCGCGCCGATTGCCCACTCTCGGATGTATATACTTAGCCAGATGTATCGGCTTAGGTGGGATCGAAGCGATTGCCGCTGCCGTCACCGCGTGATCGACCGACGATCCGTCGATCTGTCCCGAGAAGGCGGAGTAGTTCCTCGATGACCGCTTATCGTCAACCCGAATCGCGGATGACTTAATTATCTCCGCGTTTTCAATCTGGGAAATGAAATATCGCCGCGTGTCGCTCGCTTACGGTTCGTTAAAAGAAGTAATTTAATATCGAGTATCTTCTTCGGTCACCCGAGCGAGTTGTTTGTTCTCTCGGCTAAATCAGGATTATGTGGCGGAAATAAACGTGACACAATATTGCGGAGATAAGTTAATGCGATTAATTAATCGCGGGAGAGAACTTAATTCGAAAGAAGGACCGCGGTAACGCGCACGCTGTATCTCCTTTGTCCCGATCCGAGACATCGGTTCTTCTTTCGAACTAACGGAGAGAACGAACGTAAGAGACACGTTAGCTCGCATCAAGCCGACGTTTCCTGACGCTCCGGTCGTAATTTCGCGGCGCGGCGCGGCGCGGCGCGGCGGCCGCGTGATTTATCGCACGGAGACGCTGAATGCGAACGGAAGAAAGGAAGAAAGAGAGAGAAGGACCAAATTGCCACGACACTAATTGCGTATGCGTCGCTATACTTACCCACACGTACCCACGAGTATCCTAACGGCCGATCACGTGGCGGCTATGAGTTCCTCATCTACTT